AGATAAGAGCTGGAAACACAGGGAATCCAGGACAGATAAACCCCTCATGACCAATAATGAGAGTAGCGATACCAGGAGGGGAAGGGGAAGGTGGGGTAGAAAGAGGGAATTGATCACAAGGATTTCCATATTACCTGATCCCTGGGGGACGAACAACAGAAATGTGGGTTAAGAGAGACGTCGGACAGTGTAAGACATGGCAAAATAACAATAATTTATAAATTATCAAGGGTTCGTGAGGGGGTGCCAGGGAGGGAGGGGAAAAATGAGCTGATACCAAGGGTTCAAGTAGAAAGAAAATACTTTGAGAATGGTGACAGCAACAAATGTATAAATGTGCTTGACACAATGGATGTATGTATGGATTGTGATAAGAGTTCTACGAGCCCCCAATAAAATGATTTTAAAAAGAAAAAAAAGTGCTGGAAAACTTGGCTTATACTGGAGTATATATGGTATATGCAAATGCTTATTTAAAGGTTTCTCTTCTGCTCTTACGTACTTGGACCATACATTGTATTTCCATTGTCCAACATAGTATCTGGCCCATGGTAGACAATAAATGTTTATTGAATAATTTTGAAGATTTTGTTCTGTGTTTTTCTGGAAACTAATTTTTTTAACTATTGTGATATCTTTGTTTCTTTCTGGGCTCCAAGGAGGAAGCATCTCCCTATTCGTTACTTGATATCTGCCTGAATTTCATGACTACTCACCTTGAAAAGTTCTGTTCTGCAAGGCAAGATGGAACACTGTGTCTGCAGGAACCTGGAGTATTTCCACAGGAAGTGGCTGATCGACTGCTTCAGACCATGGCTTTTCATGGTAAAAAATATACAAATAAATTAGAGGAAATAAGAATCGCGTGCTGTTAATTAGATTTTCAAGTGCTGATTTGGCCAATTAATTATTTTCTTGGGGGAAGGGTGGAAATAAAAGGCCAGATTGCCTGATCCCGGGCAGGAGGTGGGGGGGACACATTTATTTTTAGTTATCTTGCCATTACTGTGTAATTTAGAAAAACCTTTTTCCTTTAAGGTTTTCTGTATGTCTAACCACTTTTTTTTTTATACCCCCAATAATCCACTCTTACATTAGAAATGATATTTCTGGCTAATGAAATATACATTTAGAAGTCTGCTGCTGTAAATACCATACATTTTAATTTGACAGTGGAAGAATCAGTCCTACTGTGGAAAAAGAATTCCTACTTCACACCATTGAAAATAAGAAATCATAGTCAATTTAGTACTTTTGTTTTTAAATACAAATTCTGAAAAGGAATTGGATGAGTTTCTACTCATGTGAAATTCTAGTCATCTACTTTGAGTACTCTTGTTACTCTATTTAAGTTTTAACTTGTAAAGGATAGAGTACTTTTATAACTTTAAAGATTAGAAAATTTTAACTAAAGTTTATTATTTATCTACAGCTCTAAGATAGAATGAAAATTAGTAATACTGTTACTAATAGCGTATAAGCCGAGTTTTTCAGCACATTTTTTTCCCCAGCACATTTTTTATGCAGTTTTTGTGGTAAAATTAGGTGCCTTGATGGATATTTGGTCGGCTTATACTCGAATATATACGATAGTTATAGTCATCATTTATGGTATGTGTCAGACACTTTACGTGTGTTCTCATTTGAATTTTCTCAATCCGATAAGGTAGCTACAACTGTCCCTATTTACATACAGATAAAAGAAACTGGAGTTCAAAAAAGTAATTTGCTGAGGGAGACACTGCCAGTGAATGGCGTCATCCTGATTAGACTTCGGACTGATTTGTTTTTAAATCTGTAGTTTCAGATCCTTCCCACTGTACCTCACAGCATTCCTACACCTACATTTGAGGTGTTTCTACTTGTAGATGCAGGTAATGGCTCCTACTTCTGCTGTAACTTTAAAACATGTAACCATTAATGGTGGAAGCAGATAGTGCACTCCAAGGAAGAGTGGTGAGAAATGCGTTATAGTTGAGGTCCGTCTGAAGTGTGCTGGGGTCGGTGAGGGAGAGAAGGACTGGTATGCTCTGTGCTCAGATTTCCGTGGCAGACTGATGTCTGCCGGAGAACTAGCAGAGAGGTCGCTGACTGCACGTACAGTCTAAGGCTGTGCAACAGCTACCGAGCATGCTGTGACCGGCAGATCTGTCCAGTCTCCGCTTAGTGGTCAAACTCAACGTATTTCCGTTTTTGACCCAAAACGAGAACTAGTCTTGTAAAGGAAAGAAAGGGTGATAACTAGAACTTTAACTTTGCTGTGTTCAGTTAGCCTTTTGAAATACATCCTTTAGAAATATAGCTACTAATATCTAATAGTGAAAGCTAACATTTATTCAATGCTTATTACTATATGCCAGTCACTGTGTTACATGCTTAATTTGCATAACATGTTGGAAATGGTCTTTGTATATAAGTGTGACTAAGTAATTTTCGTCCGTCAGAGTAGTGTCCTGGAGAAGCTGCATGCATGATCACAATGCATGTATTTCTTAATTCTTTATAAATTACTCTGTAAGAGAAGTAACTTCTTCCTGTTCCAATTGTGTCATGCCAATGTGATTCCCTGAATTATTTTCAACTCTGAAAAATCATATTCACATAATCATATTAACAATCAAGGTTAGAGAATATATACAAAAGAACATATTGCCAGGTCTGGTCATGGTTTTTTAAAGTTGTTTTACAAGTTTTTGTGTTTGAAAATTTTCCTAATGTTGAGAAATTCTGTTGAGTGCTTTTAAAGTTTATAGTACCATTTCAAAATATTTTTTTGTGATACCATTTATTTTAGAAAATGTTTAACAGGGAATCCAGACAGATAAACCCCTCAGGACCAGTAATGAGAATAGAGATACCAGGAGGGTAAGGGGAAAGTAGGGGGGGGGGGGGGGGGGGGGGCCCCCAATCACAATAATCTACATATAAGCCCTTCCCAGGGGGATGGACAACAGAAAAGTGGGTGAAGGGAGACAGTAGTCGTGTAAGACATGAAAAAAAATTATAAATTACCAAGGGTTCATGAGAAAGGTAGGGTGGGGGAAGGGGAAGATGAGCAGCTGATATCAAGAGGTCAAGTAGAAAGAAAATGTTTTGAAAATGATTATGGCAAAAAAAAAAAGAAAAAAAATGTTGAGGGCAACAAATGTACAAATGTGCTTGACACAATGGATGGATGTATGGATTGTGATAGGAGTTATAAGAGCCCCGAATAAAATGATAAAAAAAGAAAATGTTAACATACACGTTTTCTTTTTTTTGTGTGTGTGTATGTATATTTTTTATCATTTTATTAGGGATTCATAGAACTCTTATCACAATCCATACATACATCA